AGCTGCCAGCGCCTGGCGGCGGCTGCGCCCGGCCAGCTACGCCGCCTGGCGGGAGTGGCAGACGGCGGCTACACGGGTGAGGCGTAGCTTCCAGCAGGGCAGGGGAGGTAACGCGCCCCCATGGTTTGAGGCCTACTGCCGCTCAGCCCCGAAGCATGGACGCACTACGTATCCAGCGCTGCTGCACCTGCCAACTGCAGGTCGCCCTGGCGGCGGCGCCCGCCACCTGGCGCCTCGCCAGCCTGGCGCTCGACGCCTGGGCTCCCTGTAGTAACAGCAACACTGCCGGTACCGCCTGGAGCGCGGCAGCATACCTGCTGGCCCTCCTGCTGGCCTCTTCTGTACCGCTGGGCAGCGCACTGGTGGGTGCCGACGCTGCTGTCGCTGCCGTTGCTGCACGGGCAGGCTCGTCATGCCCTGACGAGGAGGCACTGCTAGCAGCAGGACGCCTTGGCATCACGCGCACGCGAGGCTCGCTGCGCTGCAGGCGCTGGCGCGTCCCCTGCGCCTCTGCTTCCACATCCCGGCGCAGGCGGCGCTCGTGGCGCTGGCGGCGGCCCACAACCGTGCCGCCTGCGCCAGCCGGGCCCTGCAGCACCCTGCCGCTGCGGCCGCCACCGCGCGGCTGCACGGCTGGCTGTCGGCATCCGCAGGGCTGCTCCTGCAGGTGCCCTGGGCTGAGCGGCGGCAGGCGCCAGACCCGGCCCGGCAGTGCGCCGCGGTGCTGGCCTGGGCGCAGCTGGCGCTCGGCTTTGTGGCGCCCACAGCGCTGCTGGCTGCAGCGGAGAGCCGGCACTACCTGGAGTTCCAGCGGGCGCGGCGGCAGCTCCTTGCCCGGCACGCCGCACACGGCGCGGGCACGGCAGGCGCGGCGGTGGCGCCGCCGTCTATCGCCGAGGGGCGGCGCGCGGCGGGCTGCCGCGCGCAGGAGCCGGCCGCGGCACCTGGCGGCGGCGATTGCAGCGCCCCTGCTTCGGCGCTTCCTCGGGCCTGGTGGGCGCGCCTGTGCCTCCGCCTGCAGCCCGACGACGGCGGGACGGCACGCATGTACCGCTTCCTGTACTGCCTCCTCAACGACCCCGCAGATCCCACCCTGCGCTGGCTGCTGGCGGCGCTGGCGGCGGCGGCTTGCTGGGAGGTGGCCACGGCGTGGCACTAAATTGATTCCTGTCGGCGCCCTTGCTACAGAGCATGATGCTGCCTGCCTTGACTGTGATCACATGATAATAATACAGGTATGGTCAGACATGTTGGAAAGACTCGGAGAGTCCCAGCGCAGTGTGATGGAGGTGGGTATGATTGGTCTGGGATAGCAGCTGGTCACTGGAGGACAGTGTAGTGCACATGCATGAGAGGAAGAGGAGCCCAGGGCGAAACAGTACGGTACAGCCAGGGGCCGCCAGGCTGGCCAGCGGCCGCATGGAGACGCCGAGTGGCAGCCTGACAGCCGACAGGCGTGCCTGGCAGCTCCACAGCCAACCCAGCCGCCCGCGGCCCGCCTCACGCCACCGTCACCTTGAACGCCTCGCTCTGCAGCGACCCGGCGCTTGCGCCCGCCGCCATGCTCGCCTCCTTGCCCTCGCAGGGGTCTTCAGGATCGTACACCACATTGTGCGCCCCGGCAGGGGCCAGGACGGACCCAGGCGGTGGCAGCAGCGAGCCTGGGTGGGCCCAGAGCAGGACCGCAAACGTCATGAGGATGGGCAGCGTGTCTAGCGTGTAGAAAAGGACCTGAAGGGAGAGGGGGGGTGGGCGGGATGATCATGGGGTTGGGGGTGGCCCGGGGCGGCGAGGGGACGGGCAATGATGGCAGCGGCGAGGGGTACGGGCAGCAGCAGCTGTGCCGCCGCCAACGCACACACCTGCTGGTGGGACAGCACATAGGTGCCTTCAGGGGCTGGCCAGCTCAGGATGGTGTCCTGTGCAAACCTGCAGCACGGGGCCAGCTTGGCGGGGGTCAAGGGGAGAGGTGTGGAAGCGGGCGAAGGCGAGAGGCTGCAGCCCGAGCTGGCAGATCGCTGGCTGCAAACGCTGGCAGAAGCGAGCGCCGCCCCAGCCGCCCCACCAAACCAGCCATGCTGCCAGTTGCTCACTCAATGAGGCGGAAGGTGTTCCGGATGTACCTGCAGCAGCGGTCAGCAGCGGGCCACTCTTCAGTCAGTTTTCAGCTGAAGGGGTTGGCCAGAAGCATGCTCCAGCTGGTGCATGGCCTCCCTGCTGCGTATGCGCTTCCCACGCTGTGCTGCCTTCAACATGCGCAGCAGCCCCCCCGAGCAGGACCGGCAACTCACAGCAGGACCATGGTGAGGTAAATCCCCAGGAACAGCTTGCCGGTGCCTCGCCGCCCCCGCAGCGCCATCCTGCGGCGAGGCAACAGGTGGCGACAGGCGCAGCAGCGTGAGGGGGAGCGGGCTGCTGCCTGGCGGCTTTGTGCAGGCAGCTGCACAGCAGCGGCGCCCTCCACACTGCATAATGTGTACTCACTTCTGGTGCCGGTGGGTCCAGATTGTGAGGATGGTAAAGAAGAAGAAGAAGATGATCTGCGGCAGCAATAGATACACAGAGCTCCGCTCACTGCGCTCACGCCCTGCCACATGGCAGTGTCCAGTGCTATGTGGCGGCGGCAGCTGCCAGCTCAGCATCGCCAGCTCAGCATATCGCCAGACCGTCGCCATCCAGCTGCCCACACGCCAGCGCCAGCAGCCAAGCCTGGCCCCGCCGGGCAGTCTGCCCGCCTGGCCCCAGGGCATCACCTGGAGGCACAGGCCGATCAGAGTGATGACCGATCCCTTGTGGATCTGCTCCTCATCGGGGTCGCCCGAGGACTGCAGGGCAGGGTGGGAAGGGAGGGTGCGCGAGTGTGAGAGTGGGAGCGGGGCGAAGTGAACAGGTTGGGCCCTGAAGGTCAGCCGATGTAGGGCTTTAAGGCATGCGTGGCATGCGTGCTTCCATTCAGAAAAGAAGCGGGGATGCCCAGGCCCTCCCGGGAGCCCACCTGTGAGGACGCCCAGATGGAGATTCCGATGGTCTGGATTCTGCGCAGACGCCAAGGGTGTGGAAGGGAGGAGGTGGTGGCGCAAGAGAAGCTTGGCAGCACGGCGGCAGCAGCCGCGGTGGCGTGGCCGCCTCATCTACTGAAAAGGCAGAAAAGCAGCACCGAAACAGAGCACCCTGGCAAGCAGCGGGGCACCCACGTGATGCCCAGGATGTCAGAGGTGCAGAAGAGGGTGGTGATGAGCCAGCCCTGGAGCATGCGCCGGCCAGCGGTGAGGTCTGGGGAAAACTTGAGCACGATGCCGACCTGGGGCGGGGCAGGGGTGGGACAAACAACAAATGACTGTTATCAACATATCAACGTAGGGGTGGCGATGGTGGGAGGCCCAGCAAGGCGTGAAGCCATGCCTGGGCAGGGGGCAGCCCCTGCTGCCGGCCCTGCCTCTCAGGCTGCCGCCAGCCAGCTCGTCGGGTGGTCGGCAGCGGCGCATCTGCTGCCTTTCCACCGGCTCCGCCGCTGCTCATCCAGCTGCCTGCCGGGCTCACCGTCCAGTAGAGGGTGGCTTGGATGATGTTGGGGGCCATGATGACGAACACTTGCATGATCACATCTGCGGGGTGGCAGGCGGTGGGGCTGGCTTGGCATCAGCCCAGGGCACTCCTGCTGGCGTGGCTCGACAGAACAGGACTGGCCTAGCACACTCACAGGCTGGGAAGACGTTGCCCTTTCCAGACATTTCGGTCGCTGCAGCACATGTGGCCACGGGTGCAAGTCAGAACACGGTGGCAGGCATGCAGGTGCAGACAGGAGGTGTCGCATGCGCCACTGCCGCCACCCAGCTGCTGCCGCCTGGCACGTGGCGCACCGTACACAAGGCAAGCGTATCCAGCCGACTCAAAGCACGCGACAGCGCTGCAGGCAGGCGGGTGCGGGGTGTTAGTTTCAGTTCCTGAGTCAGCATGGTGCCAGCAGGCTCATGCGTGTGGTCAACAGCCCGCCTGGCGGCAGCGCAGCAGCACCCACGTCATCGTGTGCATGAAGCGGTACGGCCGCCGCCACGTCTTGTACGCAATCGCCACTCCTCCCAGGAAGAAAAGTGTCATGGCGATGATGGCAAGCGCCAGGCTGGGCGAGTAGTTGAGAAAGTCCTCGATGGGCAGGGTGGACACATCGTACAGCGCCATCGTGCCGTCTGCTGCTGCGTGGCCTGATCGACGGCGGCGGCGGCGGCGGCGGCCTGGTGGCAGCCGGGCAGGCGGGGGAGCGTCCGCTTCAGTCGGCGCTGGTTCACCTGCACAAAATGCTGTTGGCCAGGTCTTAGCCCCACAACTCCTCCGGGCCGCGGCTAGGCGTCCCCCGCCTGTTGCCGCCCCACACCCTGCAGGGCAAGGCCCCGCGCACACCTCTCCAATAGGTTCTTCTAGATGTGCACTGCGCGTTTGTCCTGGCTGCTCGAGCAAGCCCCAGTAACGAGTCTGAGACAAGCTGGGAATATCGGTGACGGGAACAGACAAAGCTCGCTGGACGTTTATTGTGAACTCCTCTGGCTTTCTGTGCAGACCGCGGCCTCGATGGGCAGCTCCGCAACCTCCTTCCTTCAGTACCGCCAGCTGTCGCCTGGCGGCTGCTGGATCTGCCGCCACGGAAGCCTGATGGAAGCACCATGGTGAGGGTGTGGCGGGGTGCTTGTCCACATGCTGACTGCCAGGAGCAGCAGTGTGGCACTGCAACAACAACATTTCACTTTCCTTGTTTCCCGTCTGCGCAGGACCTACCACCCCGACGATGAGGCGTGTGGCGGCGCCTGCTGCTTTTTGCCTGGAATAGGTGCCAAAATAAACAGACAGTCAATCAGGTTGGATAATGACTGATAATACCAGTGCAGTCTGATGGAGGTGGGCTAGTTCACATGCGTGAGATACAGAGGAGCCGCGGTGCAGACGCCGCCAGCGCGCCTTGCCGCTCCGCTGCTAAACCTGCCGCCAGCCCGCCGCCGCGGCCCGCCTTACGCCACTGCCACCTTGAACGCCTCGCTCTGCAGCGACCCGGCGCTGCCCCGCGCCGCCATGCTCGCCTCTTTTCCCTCGCAGGGGTCCTCAGGATCGTATGCCACATTGTGTGCCCCGGCAGGGGCCAGGACGGACCCAGGCGGCGGCAGCAGCGAGCCTGGGTGGGCCCAGAGCAGGACCGCAAACGTCATGAGGGTGGGCAGCGTGTCGAGCGTGTAGAACAGAACCTGAAGGGAGAGGGGGGGGGCGCGGGATGATCATTTGGGGGGGTGGCCCAGGGCGGCGAGGGGACGGGCAATGGTGGCAGCGGCGAGGGGACAGGAAGCAGCAGCTGTGCCGCCGCCACACACACCTGCTGGTGGGACAGCACATAGGCGTCGTCGGGGGGTGGCCAGCTCAAGATAGCATTCTGTGCAAACCTGCAGCACGGGGCCAGCTTGGCGGGTGTCCAGAGGAGGTGCGGCAGGGTGTGCCAGAGGGCCGCAGCCAGCGGCTGGCAGCGGGGCTGCGAGCTCATGCCGGGGCTCTGGCCAGCTGGTGCCAAACCCTGGCAGAAGCGAGCGCCGCACCAGCCGCCCCACCAAACCAGCCATGCCGCCAGTCACTCACTCAATGAGGCGGAAGGTGTTCCGGATGTACCTGCAACAGCAGCAGCAGCGGGCCACTCTTCAGCGGAATGGAATGGCCAGCAGCCTGCTGGTGCATGGCCTCCCTGCTGCGCATGCGCTTCCCACGCTGTGCTGCCTGCAGCACCAGTCCCCTCCCCTCAGCAGGACCGGCAACTCACAGCAGGACCATGGTGAGGAAAATCCCCAGGAACAGCTTGCCAGCGCCTCGCCTCCCCCGCGGCGCCATCCTGCGGCGCAGCAACAGGTGACAACAGGCGCAGCAGCGTGAGGGGAAGCAGGCTGGCGGCCTTGTGCAGGCACAGCAGCGGCGCCCTCCACACTGCATGATGTGCACTCACTTCTGATGTCGGTGGGTCCAGATTGTGAGGATGGTGAAGAAGAAGAAGAAGAAGATCTGCGGCAGAAACATGAACAGCGGAGCTGCGGTCACGTTCCACCGCCAGATGCCCAGCCAGTGCAGAGTTCTGTGTGGCAGCAGCACACGCAAGCTCATCGTTGCCAGCTCAGCATCAGTAGACAGTTACGATCCAGCTGCCAGCTGCCAGCCTGGCAGCCAAGCCTGGGCCCGCCGGGCAGTATGTCTGCCAGCCCCAGGGCGTCACCTGGAGGCACAGGCCGGCCAGGGTGATGACCGATCCGTTGTGGCTCTGCTCCTCATCGGGGTCGGTAGAGGACTGCAGGGCAGGGCGGGGCATGTGTGTATGGGTGGGTGGGTGGGTGGCCCACCCGGGGGTGGCTATGCAAACAGGGCAGGCGCATTCATTCATTCAGCACACAGCCCGGCCGCCTCTTGCTCGAGGGCGGCCCACTTTGGCCTGGGCAGCCCGGGCCGCCCTCCCCCCCGGGCGCATGTTCGGTGTTGGAGGGGTGTGCCCAGCGATAGGGGGCCCCTGAAGGCATGCGCCGAGGCCGGGAAGCGTGGTTCGGCGCTGCTGCACGCTTGGCGATTTGACCAGAACCACGTGCCGCCGAGTTGCGGCCGCAGTTTCCGGCCCACGGTCTACGGTC